CCTCCAGTTTTACCCCCTTTCCTGGGAGGGGTCTGGCCTGCCAAGCTGGAGAGGACCCAGCAGCAAGTATGACCAGTGTGGGGAAAGAAAGGAGCCCATCCCATGGGGGTGCGGGGGGGTAGAAGCCCCGGGCTAGGCAGTACCTGGAGCTGCAGGCTCTCTCTCTGGACTCTGGCAACCACACTGCCTGATGCTGCCTCTGGGGAGAGGGAGGGGGAGTGGGAAGGATGCTCTTAAAGGGGAAGGCCAGCCTCCCTCCATCTGCCTCCCCTGGGAGACCAGAAGCCAGCCAGAGAGCAGCTGGTCCCCACAGGCTGGGCACTAAGTGCTTCCTGATAACAGCAGCTTATTGGGGATTGGGGACGGGGGCAAGGCCCGTCTCTGTCCCTCATCCACCCTGCCCCTTGCAGTTTGAGATGGAGGCTTCAGGAGTGAGAGTTGCCAGATGGGGGACAGAGGGAGGGGAGAAAGAGAGGCTGCTGTGGGCATCAGAGGTCAGGCCCTGGGTCTCTCCCCCATCACCGCACCCCTAGGTAAAGACCATGCTTTAGAACTTCTCTGCTTTTTATTTTCCTATACACTGTCAGAGACATACAGCCCCGGTATGAACTTAGACCACTGATTTGAGACAAACCCCAGGTGCAGAGTGTGCACGCATGTGCTTGGTGCATGCAAATATGTTCCTAGAGGAGAGTGCACTAGAGTGTGGGCCACGGCAGAAAGAGTACTCAGGAAGCAGGGACGGGGGAGAGAGGGGAACAACAGCCCCTGGCGCGTGAGGTCTCTGCTCGGCTTCCAACGCGGGCTGCACGGATGCCGCACTGGGCTGCCCGTGTCAGTGAAAGGCCCAGCCCGGGTGCAGAGGCAGCTCACAAATAGCCGGCGTGTCCCACGGAGCCGTCGCCATTGTCATTGCCTGGACAATCACAGCACACAGCATTGGAGGCGAGGCGGACGACTCCGGGAAGCAGGAGGGCCTGGGCGCCCACGCTTCAGGCTGAGCCTGGGGTACAGGCTGTTGAGATGAGAAGTGGGTGCAGAGCACTTGGCAGGGCAGGAGTTTGGTGGTGTGGGGCCATGAATCCAGCACAGCAGGGGTGACAGGGCCACTTCCAAAGCCTGCAGGCTCATGGGGGTAATCCTGGGCTGTGTGTATGAGGGGGAGGTGAAGGGGCTAGATGTGTCCCAGAAGAAAAGGGGAGCCCGTGGGCACCCTACATCCTGGGGTCCAGGCTGGGGAGCAGCCCCTTGGTCTGAAAGCAAACAGCACACATCTGCTTAGCCCAAGGAGTGTCCCCCTGGGAGCAGTCCCCCAATGACCCTCCATGTACAGGGTCACCGAGCAGTGAAGGGAGGTTGCCTGGAGGGGCCAGGTGGGGTCCTGGCTGCGGGATGGGCCTCCTCCGAGACCGCAGGCAATATGGCCTGGAGGATGGAGCCGGCCATGTCCAAGGCCACCAACAGGACGTCCCCCTGGGATATATCCTAGGCTCTCAGACTCCTGCAGTCAGGCAGGACTGAGCTCCCCTTGCCCCCACTTCCTCCACTCCTCCTGGGGCCCCAGCACCCCCCTCTCTCTGCTGCCTTCAACACCCCATTTCTCGCCTGTCCTACAACACCAGCTTCCTCAAGGTTTCTCCCTGCTGCCTCATCCTGTTCAACCTCTGCTTCCCCAGCCACTGCAGAGAGGCCCTACCCCACGAGGCTGACGGAGCCCACCGCAGGGCCCCTGCTCAGTCCTCCCTCCGAGGGCTCTCTCCTCCCCAGGCTCGCAGCTGGACACCCCTCAGGTCAACACCTGATCAGGCCTCCGCCCAGTTCCAACCACCTCCTGCCCTTCTCTTCTTATGTCCCCACCAGCTCCCAGAGTCCCTTGGCTGCTCCTGGGTCACAGAGCAACATTCTATTCCAGGACACACCAAGCGCCCCCCCCAGGGCCCCCCTGCTGCATTCACACAGGGCGTTCCCTCCCCTGGACCGCTCAACATGACCCCCACCTTCCCCGGGGAGCCCTCAGGGACTTGCCTCTTCTTCCGGCACCCTGTGTGCTGATATCTCGATGGCAGGGCTTATCACATGTGTTAGGTGACTGCTGATGTGCTGTCCCTCTCTGCCCTATGCCACAGCCCAGCCCAGTATTCCCTCCAGGACGGGCACAGTCCCTTTCATCACGGCCCCCTCCCCAGCCCGGGGGGGCACTGCCCGTCTCTGTCCTGGCCTCTTTGGCCGTGCACAGTGCCCAGGCTCAGGGCTGGGGTGGGAGTCCTCCCTGGGGCTGGTGCATCCCGGGAGCGGTTCTCCCCGGGAGAAGCAGGGGCTCCACAGCTGGAGGGAGCAGCCCAGGTCTCCCCATCTCTGGGACACCCAAGGGATGTCCTGGAGGAAGGAAGGCAGGACATGGTCTTGGGCTCGCGGTGAAGCCCAAGAAAGCCCAGGAGCTGGGGGTGTTGTGCGGGTGTGAACAGAGGGGCTGGGTGGGGAGCTGTCAGCTGCAGGGGGAGGGGGACGGGTAGCCTTGGGGCCTGTGCACACGGCATTTCCAGCGTTCCAGAATATGGCCTTCTCTAATCGCCATCGACATTCCGTTCCATAGGCACTTGGGCTGACAGCTGGCCTTCTTTTAATAGCCACAAGTATTCTGGGTGACATCCTAATCCCAGGGCATTCACTGGGAGCACATACACGGCTCGCAACAACCCCCCCCCAGGTACATCCAGCCTCCAATCACACAGAGAGGTACACATCGCCCACACTCGGTCACACGCAGCTTAGAGCAGACATGTTGGGGCACACTCAATCCTGTGCCCTGTGGTGTCACAGTGACAGAGAACATGTGCAGGGCACATGGTCACACACAGGCACAAGCCATTCTCCGCTGGCTCACTGCACACACGTCCTGTCCTGCTCGCGCACACTTACTGTACGTTCATCACTGGAGAGCCACCACCGCTTGCCACATACATGCATCGTCAGGGTCGCACAATCACACAGACTCTCAGCTGCAGTCCAGACTCACTCAGGGCTGCCCACAGCATCATGGAGTCACAGAGACCCCCAGGCACCCCAAGCAGGCAGGGGACCCCTGGGTGCGGAAGGAGTGACTCCCAGAGGGCACTGGGCCTGCCCGCAAGAACAGCTCCCCTTTCCTGGCCACTCCCTGGGCTACTGGCCCCTTATCCCCACCCCTGTATGGATTGGCAGGTGCCACACCCAGTCACCTTCCCAGGAGGCTCTGCTTCCTGCTCCTGCGGCCTGAGAGGGGCCTTGGCTTCCATGTCCTCCAGGCCCTGACTGCAGGGGAAGCGGCCGCTTACTTGCTGGGCAGCCCCCCACACAGCTGCTGCCTCTGTGTCCATCCAGCCCTGGGGAAGCGAGGAGAGGCACTGTGAGGTGAGAGGGACCCTCCAAAGTCCCTGCGCCTGCCCTCTTCCCCGGCCAAGACTGTCTCCATCCTCCACACACGTATTCACTGCAGTGAGGCCCGTGGTACTATAGGCTCGCTGGTCACCAAACCCCTGCACACTGTGTGCCTGTGCTAGTGTGTGTGTGTGTGTGTGCATGCACGTGTGCGCTAGTGTGTGCACGTGCGCGCGTGTGCGCTAGTGTGTGCCTTGCTAGTGTGTGTGTGCTAGTGTGTGTGCGTGTGCGTGCGTGTGTGCTAGTGTGTGTGTGCGCGCGCATGCGCGTGCGTGCACTGTGTGCCTTCTTAAGCGTGTGGGGTGGGTCTGTCTTCATGAGGGTCTAGGCCTCTGTTGACGAATGACATTCACTCCTTGATGTCCTTCACTACATGTGGTTCAGGGAAGGGACCTCTGATATCTCCTCCCTGAGCCCCCAGGGCTGGAAGCAGTGGGAAGAGGTCAGTGGAGATTCTTGGTGAGGCCCACGGTGGGCCCTGTAGTTACAATGATGGAGGAGCCCAGGTGTGGCTGGGGATGGGAGGCCACAGCACAGAGAGCTCTCCTGGGGGCATTAGGGGGCATCACAGCCCTGGGCCCCAAAGAGGGACTGGCAGGCTGGTAGCTCCCAGGGCTAACACCAACTGTGGGGTTAGCACCCACTCATGTGCACCCTAGCCAGTCTTGGATGTAGAGACAACTGTTTTCCCTTTTAGAGAAGAACACACAGGCTCAAAAGGGGTGAGTGACCTGCCCAAGCTCACACAGTGAGAATGTGGTAGAACTGAGCCTTGAACCCGGGTCCCCTGACTCCAGGGCCAATACTCCTTCCACTGTATCCTGTGGGCTCCTCAAGGCTCCCAGGAAGAGGGGGCTTAAGGCTAAGAACAAAGGGCCCCGAGCTAGCTCCGGCCTGTCTCTCGGGAGGCCCATCTAGGGCCAGAAATGCCTGTCTTTTCGCGGCTCTAAGCTCCTGGAATACTGCCATCATGGAAGAGAGATGGCCTGGCGTTGGAAGACGCATCAGTCCCGGCCCTGCTACTGGGTGACCTTGGGCCAACCCATTGCCTCTCTGGCCCCAGGGCCCCTGCCTGTCAGGGGGAATGGGGCAAGGAAAGGCCATGGGGCAGTCGTGAAGGGCTCTTCCTGCCAGCGTCCCGGGGTCCTGAGGGTCCCTGGGTCTCAGAGGCCTGAGGCTGGCCCGGTTGAGGAAAGGAGGGTGAGGTGCTAGCCTCGGGAGGCCATCGCATCCTTACCACCTCGCTCTCCGAGCCCAGGGACGCCTGGCGCCTCTGTCCAGAGATCCAGCTGAGGTCCGAGGCCTGGCTGCTCAGTGTGGAGCGGTGGGTGGAGCGGTAGCTGGTGTAGGGGCCGCTGTGCTGGCCTGACACGCCCAGCAGCACCCGCAGGCAGGGCAGGTGCTGGGCAATGGCCATTCTGCAGGAACCGCACAGCTGGTTAGGGGGGTGGACAGGCAGACACCAGGAGATGGGGGAGGATGGACAGACTGATACGAAGCTAATGGGAGTGGACAGAATGGGGAAATGGGTGGTTCCGACACTGGGGTTATGAGGACAGACAGATGATGGGGTGATGGGAATGGACAAAACAACACTGGCAGTCATAGGAAGTGATGAGGAAGGACAGACAGATGCTGGGGTGAAAGAGACTGACAGGCCCATAGCCTTGGGGATGGACAGACAGACACTGGGGCCATGGGCACGGAGGGTAGCAGGTTTGGCGAGGGGCTTGGTCTCAGCTCTCAAGTGGCTGGCCCAAGCCGCGTCCCTTCCAGTGAGGACGGGGACACTCCCGAGCAGCCTCTGAGCCTGCAGCTGGCCTCAGCAGGGCGGCAAATTACTGACACCACCAGGCAAAAGGAAGCACTGAGGGGTCCCTCGAGGGAGAGGCCAGCTGTGCTGGGAATCCATCAGCAGAGAGCGCTCTGGGCCAGAAGCACCCCCGGGCCTCCGCCAGGGCCCTCGAACCTCTCCCTACTGTGGTCTCCAGGACATTGCTGTCCGGGGGCTTCTTCTCTTTGTAGAGGGCATCACTGCTGATCGGCCATCCCAGCTGCCTTTTGGCCTTGGCTCCAAAAATGCCACAGGCAGGATTGGACACTGCCCAGGGAACTCTGAAGTCCCTCCAAGCTGATCCCCCTGGGAAACTGGAGCAGCAGAGGGGGTCACACCAGCTCCAGACCCCACCCAGTGTCACTGGCTGCTCCCAGCTGCGGGAGGCCCCCACCCAATGCATACATACGAGAGATAGGAAAGATGGCCAGCCTCTGTCCCCATTCACGGCTTCTGACCCTCCGTGGCCCGGGGACATGGGGCTGGGTCCTGGAGGAGGGCCGCACCTGTACTTGGGGTGGGTGATGGCATAAATGATGGGGTTGTGGATGGCAGAGGCCTTGGCGATGACAGCAGGCACGGTGTTCATGTAGGGTGTCAGGACATGCGCGTACCTAGGACGGAGAAGCTGTGGTCCCCCCACCAGCCGGCCCTCCCAGAGACTCCACGGCCCACCTGCCCCCTCAGGAAGCTTCTTCCTCTGGGCCAGGCCCTGCAGCCCAAACCAGCACAGCCAAGAGGGACTGCGATGCCAGGATAATTCTGACCTGAGGTGAGCGGAAACCTGGGGGGCCGCTGAGGGACGGTTGCTGAGGAGAAGAGGAGCCAGGTTGGGGGGTTCGGCCAGGTCCCATGATAGCTTGGAGCCCGTGCTGTTGGGAGGAAACACTCCCCACCCCCAGGGCCTCTGGGCCTCTGGGCCTCTGGCCAGTTCCTCCCCCGCCGCACACAACCCTGAGACCCGCTTCTCCCCTGGCTCTCTTAGAGTGACTCACAAGACAGCCTTAGCCGGCACCAGGCCCTTCCGGCACAAGGAGGTCTCGGACCCAGACACCCCCCAGCATGAAAAACTCTCACTGTCTCAAAGTGCTTCTGAAGTCTGGCCTATGTCCTCGCTGCTGCAGACATCAAGTGCCCAGACTCGAGCCACGAAGGGCTGGCAGGCAGGAGGTGAGCGGCACCCCAGGCCACGTGCCCACAGCCCGGTGAAGAGGGAGCCGGAACCTCAGGGAGCGTCTTGTGTTCCCGCGGGATCTGGCAGGACCTGGGAGCCCCTGCAGGCCCTCAGGCCAGACCCAGAGCTCCCGCAGCATGGGTCCCAGTGCCTCCAGGAAGTGGCAGGGCCATCTCCCGCAGGTGAACCTCGCTGCCGCCGCAGGGAAAATGAATGACTGGCTGTGAGGCTGGGCTTTGAGTGTAAGAACGGCTGGCTCCGGCTTGGGCTGGGGAGGGAGAGGCCGCTGCAGGGTCCCCTTACCCTCCTCCCACCCCCTCCAGCCCCTGTCCCGGCCCCTTGGGCACTGCTCACCCAGCAAAGGCCGTCAGGGCCACAGCGGAGTAGGGGGCCCAGGAGAGCACGAAGAGAAGGATGACCAGCAGCTCAATCTTGGCCATTTTCCACTCTCTCTGTAGCCGCTGCCGTTGTCGGGGGGACCTAACACCGCCCTCGCAGGCCCTGAAAGTCTGGAGAGCCCTGGCACAGGCACAAAGTCCGAGTCTGACCCCGCTCTAGCGGCAGTGAGGGCCACGGTCATGGCTGCCGTGGGGGAGGCTCCCTGGACCTGGCCATTCTCTCCAGACTCCCAGAAAGTTCTCCGTTACATCCAGCCTAAGCTGTCTCCCTGTGGTTCCGCCTCCCCGTGGACCTCCTGATCAAGCCAAAGGCCCCCTCCTCAGAAGCCCCTGTCTCCTGAGACTTCTCTAGGCACCCAGGTTGTGCTGGTCTCTGGGCACCTCACCCCCTAAGCACATGGGCTCAGCTTGTCTTTGCCCATCTGGAGCTGGGAAGGAATGTCCTGGGGAGGGGGAGGGTGCAGTGTGAGGCTGGGGGCTGGGTAGGGGCAGCCCTGGCAAAGGCGTGTGGCCACCCTCCCGTCGAGCCCTTCCTCCACGCCCAGCTCTTACTGGCCTGTCTCCCGGATGGCCCTGAAGATGAAGATGTAGCAGTAGATGATGACCAGCAGGGGGAGGAAGAACACGAAGCAGAAGAGCAGCATGGTGTAGGCTCGGACCGAAGGTGTGAAGCTCATGTAGTCCCAGGAGCAGGAGGTCAGCAGCCCCTCGGGTACGTAGGCGCCTAGGAGCCAGGAATAGGTGCTCAGCCTTCGGCCCAGCATGCTTCAGGCTCCTCATCCAGCAGGGGCTTTAGCTGTGGGGCCCGGGCTCCCTGAACACTGGTCCCCACTCCAGCCCTGCCTAGTGCAGTGAGGAAGCCAGGGCATGTGGAGGGAAGCTTTCCCAGCTAGTTCTAGCAGGCAAAGCCCACTGCTGCCCATTTTTACCAGGTTGGAACAGAGACCTCACCATAGCTCCAGGGTATTATCCTCCAGATTTTGGCCAGGTTTTTGGTCCTGCCGCAGAAAGGACCTTGCTGCTAACTCTCCTACTTGCTCAAGCCTACACCCCAAGGCCTGCCTGTCTGATGCTAAAACTCAGCATCAGATGCACCTGTCACTTACTGCCGCCCAAGAACCATGTGGGAGCCCAGGTCATCCTCTGGTTGCTGGTGGTTCTACCTCAGTTTCCCCTGCTGCTAGTCATGCCCCCTGAATATCCATCTGCCTTGAGGCTCAAGAATTCCCTTGGCCCTTCCTGCCAGCTGGCCAACCCAAGTCTACCTACCTGCCCCTTGAACATGCCCCACCCAGCTTATCGTCCTCTCTCCCAATTCCCTCAGTCCACTTACTCCAGCCAAAGAAGGGTGGCAGACTCCAGGCCAGGGCATAGAGCCAGACGCCCACCAGGACAAGCGCTGCCCGCCTCTTGGACACCACCCCGATGGTGGCCAGTGGGTGCATGATCACCAGGTAGCGGTCCAGAGCGATGGCCGTTAGGGTAATCATGGAGGTGATGCCGAAGACAGCCCCACAGAAGGCATAGAACTCACAGCCTGTGGGCACAGCTCCCCGACCTCAGACCATGGCAGGAGCCCATGAGTTACCCCAGAGGAGGGGGGTCTGGGGGTGGTACATACTCAGCTCCTGCCTTCACCTCTCCAGAAAAGCATCCCTGAGCCCCTCTCCACCCTGGCTACTTGCCACATCTGGCCGAGAAGCTGAATCTTCCCTCTTGCTCACTCACGGGATCGAGCACGGCCACCCACTCTCTGCCCAGGAAGAGCCAATCACCTCCTCGTTCAAGGCCAGCCTCCACTGTGGGCATCCCCTGCCACAACCCTCCTCCTCCCTCCAGCAGAAGGGAACCCCGAATGTCTACCTGCCTCCCCAAAGAGCCACCGCTTATAGAGGCTGCTGGCGAAGAAGACGGGGGCCTGGGTGAAGGACATGAAAAAGTCGCTGACTGCGAGGTTGATAATGAACATGTTGGAGGGTGTCCTGAGGCCTCTGGTCCTGTGAAGGGTCGGAAGCTGTCAGGAGGTGCTTCTGCTGGGGAGCTTCCCTGAGCTACGAGCACACGTGCACACACGCACACACACGGGCAGAAGCCACAGGGCCACCACCCATCCCGCTGCTGCCCAGCAAGCACCAGCCAGACGGCTCTAGAGCCTGACAGCATGGGCTGAGAAGTGAGGCCCCCTCCAGGCAGCAGCTCTTGCCTCAGATGGGGAGCAGTACTGCCCCCAGAGTGCTATGCAGCCCTGCCGAAGCTGGCTTTAAGACACGTCTGTTTCTTCCTCTCGCCTTCTGGATCCCCTCTGCATGATCCGCACTCTCTCCTCGGACACACCCCTCATTTGTCTGAACCCCTCCAGGCCAGTTCTCCCCAGGGGCTCCTCCTGCATGCTCAGGCTCAGATGTGCCTTCCCAAGAGCTCCTTCTACCTCCTTCTCCCCCAGGCACCCCTCCTTGTACCCCTTCTTCCAGTATCTCTGCAGTCTTCACACTTGGGGTTGGCCCAGGGCAGAGGGACAGACAGGTGTGCCCCACAGGCCAGGCACTTTCACAAACGCCTCTCCCGTAATCATCCATCTTTGCATCTAGCCCTCCCTCTTTTCCAGATGAGAATCCTGAGGCTCCCACCCTCGAGGTGGCTTGCTCCAGAAAACAAGACTCAGTAAGTGGCATGGCCAGGATTCAAACACTTAATATTTTTTTT